TGGAAGGCAAGGCCAGGTCTGTCACTCTGCTTCCCCACTACTACCCCCAGGGCCATGTCCTCCGTCCTGGGCACCTGGCTGCACCCGTACCCAGAGGATTTCCACCAGCCCCCAGAATTTCCCTGCCTGAAGATGGTACTGGCTTATGCAGAGCTGAGCATGCCTGGCTCAGACCTGGAGCACCAGGCCCATCTTTTGGCAGAGCTGGAGCTCCCAGAGGCAGAGGGTGATGATGAGGAGGATGCAGGGTGGGTGATGGGCTGAGTCAGGAGGGGAAAGCAATGGACCACACAGAGGAGAGCCTCCTGAGGCTGGAACTGGACCAGGAGCAATGGGGAGCCTCAGATCATTTGCCCTGGACTGCATCTGAAAATGCTTCTTGGGCATGGGATCTTGGACTGATGCTTCACTGACTGGCTATGAGAACTTTCCTATTTTGGGGAGACATGTGGAAAAGCAGTCATATTGATGAGAGTTTCCCTTCTTGGAGCTACAGCAGCAGCTCAGAGCAAGCTCTGGAAGCTCCTGGAGACCTAAAGCCTGCTGCACCTCTCCTGCCCAGGACAGCTCCAGAGCCAGAGCAAGCTCAAGCCACAGCCCTTGCTCAAGTTCAAGGGCCAGATGAAGGGATATACCAACTCCAAAACCAGAGCCAGAGCCTGCTCCCGCCCCAGCTCTCATGTAAGTTCAAAGCCAGGAAAAGAACCCGCACACACTCCAATTCTAGAGGAGGTTCAGGCAACAGCTGTCCTCCATCTCAGAGCCTGAAACATCAGGAACAGCTGCTCTAGCACTTCCTCTACCACCTCAGCCAGCTGCCTGCCCGGCCTCACATCCAGAGTCTCAGCCAACCTCAGCCAGAGCTCCCCCACTGGCCCTGGGGCACCACAGTGCTTTGGCCCAGCTGTGACCCCACAGGGTTATCCAGTTCTAGATCAGAGACCACAACACGCCCAGTTCTCCTAGTTACTCAGGTGCTAGAGCCAGGTCCTCCCCGGATACGCCTAGAGCTGCTACCCGACAAGCAAGGAGCTCCAGCACGTGCAGTGCCTTCAGAACCGGGGGCTGAGCTGCCCCTGGTGCCAGCAGCAGCACTGGAGACATCCTTCCCCTTCCCTGTAATTCCTTATTTAAAAAAAAATAAATTTGTTCTCTTACATACACTAAATTATTTATTCTATGATATACAATTACTTTAAAGTTTAATTTTTTTTATTATTTTAAATTGTACGTGTACTTGGCATTAAGTACATTCACAATGTTACAATAACCCCTTTTAACATCTATTCCAGAACATTCTCATCAAAGTACCCGGCTGTACGCACCAGTCAGGCTCTGCTGCCTCCCCTCCCCTTCAGTGCTGGGACACCCACTGTGCCTGATGTGTCTGTGAATTTACAACCCCTGGGTATTCTTATTGGTGACATCATACTACAGTAGCTTGTTGTGTCTGGCTGAGTAATGTATGAGGAGAATTATTATCATGGGGTTTTTTTTGCTTTAAATATAAATTTTAAATATTAAAAATATGCCATGTCACCAAATTAAAGGCAAGGCCTTGGATGTGTTCCCTCCAGCGGAATTTCCTGGCTGCAGCAGCGGCTCCCACTTGAGATCATATGAGAAGAAAGAGTTGTAACAAAACATATCAGGTGCTCAAGGAAACTGCAGGAAGGTCAGAGCTTCAGGTCAGGAGCTTCAGAGATGAGCACAGGCCCTTCCATCCCTCAGGCTCCCCCAGCAGTGTCTCCCTGCCTTGTCCCTGGTCAAGACCCCCCATGGCTGACATCCTGTCATTCAGCTTCTGCAGGGGAAGGGACTCTACCTTTTGCCCAAAACCACAAATGGGGAGGAAGGAGGGCCAATATGTCCATCAAAGTAAGGTCAAGGGGGTCCCAAGGTCTGAGTTAGTGAGTGAGATGATGGTCAGTGACCTCCCTCCTCTCCACCCAGAGTTGGAGCCCCCGATGCAGAGAACATAGGTCCTCACAAAAAGGAAATTCTGAAGCTCTCCCAGGAGAGGGAAAAACAGAAGCCCCTGTTTAAATTGGGATCAGATGAAGCAGAGATCCAAGGGCCCAGGGGAAGGCCTGCTTGGGCTGAGGCTCTACCCTGAGGCTTAGGAGCACAGGCTGAGTGTTGGTTTGTAGGATGTTACTAAGAATAATCATTGCAGGGTCTCTATGTAAAACCAAAGTTGCCCCCAGAAGACACATTCAGTACAGATCCTCAAACATCCCTTTTCTACATTAGATCCTGTAGAAGGTTGAGATGTGTAGCTCGTAAGTAGAGAGAATGATAGGGGATAGGGTGTCCACAAAGTCAGGGCAGTTCAGGTTGTCTGACTTGGCAGGAGGGGACCACTCTCCTTGGATGCCGATATTTCCCTAATAGAGCAGAAACCCAGAATACCACAGGCGTAGAGTGGTAAGGTTTTTCCTCTCTCATGGAAAATAATTACGAGTGTAGAGATTTCATACTGTCAACAGCACACCACGGTAGTCAGCCATTATCCATCTTTCTGCCCCTTCAGTATTTTCAGCTGGTGTCCATCCTCAATTCAGTCTCTTGGTCCAAAATGGCTGCTGGAGCACGGGACTTGATCTGCCTCCATGAGTTCACCTCTGAGGCAGGAAGGAGGAAAGAGGAAGAGTCAAAGGGCCAACTCAGCTGCATCTACTCTATCTAAACAGCCTCCCTCAAACCCACACAGTCTACACGATCCTTTTGCTCACTTATAATCTGCCTGAAGTTCATCTGGCCACTTTCAGCGACAAGAGACCTTAGGAACTCAACCATTGATATGGAGAATTTCTGTCCTCATTTAGACCATTTTTCTCTTCTTAAGTAAAAAAAAAACAGAAAAAACAAAAAATGAAAGCCATGTGGTGATGACCTGGGCTGTTTGCCTACACTAAACACCAAGAAGAAGGGGAGGAGATGGAGTGATTTTCAGATGAGTTGGGTTTCGTTTACCCACCATAGAGGCCCTCTGCTTGGTGTTTCTTCATTCCCAGGGGAATTAGAGATGCAGATTCTAACCAGGATTTTCTAGAGGCAAAGATGCTTTCATTTCCCAGGCAGGCAGCTGGAACCACAATGGGGCCTTCATCTGCCTGTTCCTTGGAAGCAGCTCAGAGAAGATCCTCCTCTGTTCTCTAATGATGTGGGCAGAGGTGGAGGGTGGGAACTTGGGGAAGCAGTATGTCCAAATCGCTGGATCAAAAATTGAGATCTGCCAAAAAAAAAAAATGTGTCATCAAAAATTAGGCCTATTGGACACCCACACTTTCAGCCTAGAGGTACATAAGACATCAGGGTGATTATTAGTAAAAATAGTTCACATCCAATAAAACTCCACACGGTCAAATGCATTACTGACTGATGACGCAAGGAAAATACACTACTGAACAATTTTGGTACCTGCTGTTTGACTCAGGTCAGTTGATGGGATCCAAATAATGGTCACTAAGGAAATCTTACAAAGGCAGACTCTGTAGTCATTAAATTATGTTTTGGACAAGAAATCTTACCACGTATTTCTTCTACATTTGATCCCAAGTGAAATACTTTCAGTAAATGAAAAATAAACATGGCTATCCCTGCAGCAGTCCTGAGGCTGGGAGCCGCCCCCAGTCCCCCTCCCCCAGGAGCCAGTGCGCAGGCGTGAGCGGAGGCAGGTGTGAGGGTTGCGGGGAAGGGGATTCAGCCCTGAACTGGGTGGGTTCCTGGGAGGCCCTGGGTCGTGACAAGGAAGTTGAAGACTGAGTGGGTCACTGACCATGTGACCCTCCCAGCGGCCGGGGAGAAGCACAGAGGCTGGTAAATGCAGCCCTCTCTGTCGCTCCTCCCCGCGGGCCAGCGCACCAGCAAGGGGCCCGACTCTCCAGCTGCCAGGCCGCGATCCTACCCGGGTCCTCGGCTCCGGGGCTGCCGCTACCAGTAGCAGCCGTTCCGCTGTCGGCAGCGTAAGGCCGTTGGGCTCGGGCCACGAAGGCGGGCGTTGCATGGAGGGCGTCCCTCCTGCTCGCGCCCCGGGCCCACAGGGCAGCGGGGGCCGTCCCCTCGGGCGCCTGCGGTGGCGGTGGGGGCGGGGCGGGCCCTGGCCTGGGGCTG